TTAGCATCTGCACTTGCTTTGCCGACGTCGGGCTCTTTAACTCTAGGATGGCCTTGATCTGATCTGGGCTGGCCTCGATGCCCCTTCTGGTCACCAGGTATCCTAAATACTTACCAGATCCAACTCCAAATGCACACTTCGATGCATTGAGTCAGAGCCGATATGTTTTAAGGATTTCAAAGACTTTTTTTAGGTCGACAAGATGACCCTCAGGCTCCTTGGTCTTAACGACCATGTCGTCGATGTAGACTTCTTCTGTTCGGCCAATCAGGTGCTTGAACATTTTGGTTACCAGCCTTTGGTAAGTCGCTCCTGCGTTTTTCAACCCGAAAGACATTACTCTGTAACAGTACAGGCCTTTTGGGGTGATGAATGCTGTCTTTTCTTCGTTTGGGGGGTACATAGCTATCTGGTGGTAGGCATCTAGGAAGCTCATTCTTCCATGCCCTGAAGTGGCATCTACTAGCTAGTCAATCTTTGGTAGAGGAAAGGTGTCTTTGGGATAGGCTTTGTTGAGCCTGGTGAAGTCTACGCAGACCCTCCATTTACCGTTCTTCTTCTTTATCACCACTGTATTGGATAGCCATGTGGGGTAGTGTACTTCTCTAATGGCCCTGGCTTCTAGGAGCCTGTCTACTTCTTCTTCTACTGCTTCGACGTGCATCAACGTCGGTCTTCTGGCTCGTTGAATTACAGGTTTGGCCGACCTGTCAACATTCAATTTGTGGCACGTGATCTCGGGGTCAATGCCAGACATTTCGTAAGGTGTCCCAGCGAACACCTCAATATTTTCTCTCAAAAAAGTTTCCAACTCCTTTTCCTCTTCTTCGGCTAAGCCCGAGCCGAGAAGAAAGAAACGTTCTTCGTCCCCATCCTGGACGAGAATTTTCTTCAGTGCCTCTTCGCTCTTCTCGCCTGGCTCTTTGCCGACGTCTTCTAGGACTTCCACGTCCTCATCTTCAATCTCTGCCTTCTCTGGCTCTCGTACATTGCAGGTAGATCTCATTGCTGCCATGGAGCAATTCTTCGCCTGCAGTTGATCATCTCTGACTTCCTCTATCCCATGCTCTGTTGGAAATCGCAATAGTTGATGCAATGTTGAAGGAATTGCCCCCATTGTATGCAACCATGGCCTTCCCAACATGATGTTGTATGGGGAGGGTGTGTCGATGATGGTAAATTCTGTCTTGATCTTCCTGGTGCCAGCCTGCACCTCCAAGCTTACTGTTCCCAAAGGCCATGTCGGCGTTCCATTGAGCCCAACCATTGAGCCATTGGGTTGTTCTATATCATCTGGGTGAAGGCCGAGCTCCTTGTAACATCGGACATACATGATGTCGCAAGAGCTGCCTTGATCAATCAGGATACGTTTCACTTGGCACTCCCCAACTTGGAGGGATACTACCAAGGCATCATTATGCGGATGCTGGACCATCTCTAGGTCAGCTTCAGTAAAGGTTATCATTGGTCCTTGGCATTCTTCTGCCCGATGTCTTTTGTCCCTGACTTGGTAGACATGTTGTAGGTGTTTTACCTTTTGGGTCTCTCCTCGGATTTCGTTCTCGTTGACCTTCGAGTGGATTACGTTGATTATTTGAGGTCCTCCTGCCTGTGGCTGTTGTGCTGGGGGAGGTGGGGCTGCTGGTGCCTGAGGCAATCTTGCCCGTTCTTTCCTTGTTCTGGTCTCATCTATAAGGTCTGTCAGATGTCCTTGTCTCACCAGATCTTCCAAATTTGTTTTCAGGGCTCTACAACCCTGAGTTGTATGCCCATCTTCATTATGGTAGGTACAATCCCTGCCAATGTTTCTTCTCATGAACTCTCCTGGAGTCCTTTCTGGTGTTCTGAAATAGGGCTGGTTCCGAATTTGATCCAGGACTTTGGCAATTGGGATTCGGAACACAATTGTTACTGCTTGTGTGGCCCTCAGTTCTACCTCTTGCCTGCTCGTTCCGTTGTTACCTCGGCCTCGCTTCGGCGAGCCGTTTCCTTTCTCTTGTTTTGTCTCCCTGGTTCCCGACGTGTTTTCTTCGGCTCTGGCATACTTCTTGATTCTCGCCATGAGCTCCTCCATACTTTTTGGCAATGTCTTTGCCAGAGACTTTCGTAGTGAACAGTTATCTTTCAAGCCGTTCTTGAAAGATACGACTGCCACCTCTTGATTACATTCGGGTATTCGATTAAACACCTTATAGTATCTTTTTGCATAGGCCCTAAGGCCTTTATCCTTGCTGATCTTCAGAGCCATTAATGCGTCCACCCTTAATGGCTGCAACTTGTTTGTCACAAACCTGGCCACAAACATCTCGGCCAGGCCTTCCCAAGTCTTCATGTTTCCCTTTGGTAGTTTGTGGAACCAATCTGATGCAATCTCCCCGAAAGATGAGGGGAACACTTTGCAGAGCAACGGCTCGTTTCCACTATATAATGCCATTGAATTCAAATATAGTCCAACGTGGAAGTTGGGGTCTGACTTTCCATCGTATATTTGAAACCTCGGCATACTGAATCGCTTTGGTGCCTCAAATCTGTCTAATTCCACCGAGAATGGTGTCCTCGGCTTATCTAGAGAGGTTACCTCGGCTTCGGCATTCTATTGCTTCCTCTTGAGGTAATCTTTTAAGTCTTCTTTGCTCCGCCCAGGAGCTCGGCTATCTTTCGACTTCAGTCTTTTCGGTATACTACTCTCGGTCTCGTGGTAAGCCCTTTTCGATCCTTCTCCATAAGTTGTGTCGAAGCACAGTGTCTGCCCTTGAACATGTCGATGTCCTTTGGGATCTGCCTCCTTTGTGCGATGCGTCCTCCGTGATCCTTCTCTTCTTGATTCTCTTCATCCGTCCTCCCTAGAAAGTCGGTGAGAGTATCTCTCGTCTCCGTTGTGCTGAGGCGCTACGGGGATTGTTTTCTGTCCTCCCTTCTGGATATTGGCCGCTGGAATTAGCGTGTCGTGCGGTGGGTATGGTGGCTGCATGACGTTATTTTGCATCATGAAATTGACGACCGACTGCAAGTCTGCCAATTTGTTTACCATCTCTTTTACCTCTTCGTCCCTCCGTAGGCACCTATCCTTTCAAACCTAGAGGTCGTCTTCGTTGTAGTACCTGTTTTGATCAGGTTTCTTTGGTGCATCGCTAGTCTGGCCGACGTCTTTTGCTCCATGATTTGGTTCATGAGTTTCTGCGTTCGACCTTTCTCCTTCGCCATCGAGGTTAATAGGTCTCCCACTCCCAACAGGAGTGTCGTCCCCAATCTTTTCCTTCTTTCCGTTATTGGCCATCTATTCTACTTTCGTTCCCACAGACGGCGCCAAATTGTGTGAGTGATTTTCTGATCACACCGCCCGACTCAGTATTTAGCTAGAGAACACTGGTAGAATAGATGACACCTGGCTAACCTGCAACAGAAAGAGAAGATTCCGGCAGTGGTTTCGACCACCCGGGGGCACTCCGACGATCAAGTCAGTATATCTCTCAAAGATAATCAATAATGCTAAACTCAATGCTCAAAGCATAAGATTGCGTACCTTAGACCCACGGGGGTGCCTCTCTTTTATAGTTACCTCAATCCTAATCCCAATAGAAGACTGACTTCTATGGATTCCTGTTTAATACTTACTTTGGACTCCTTTAGAGATAGAGATAAACTCCCTAAGAACTTTATCCTTATCTTAGCTAAGTCTCCTCTTTATTCTAAGACTCTTGTCCCTTATCTCTTATCCGCTTATCTCAGATTCCGATATATTTGGAGATAATCTCGGCCTGAGTGGGATCACCTCGGCGTAATGACTCTGACATGTGACACCTCGGCTGACACTTCGATGTCACCTCGGCCACGTGTTGTCATTCAAAAATTATGTCCCCGCACTTATTATACAAATTATAAAAATTCAAAATCTCTAATATTATATCACATTATTCGTTAATATATTGATTAATATACCGATTTATGCGTATAATATTATTCTAGAAATTTAGAAACACACTCAACTTACTCCATTCCTAAGAGTCAAACCCAATGACCATTAGAAGGAAATAGGATTGCAAATGAATAAAGCCGTTCGTGAACAGGTTCGAGCTCGTTGTTTGAACTCAGTTCGTTAAATATTTTTTGCGTTCGAGCTCGTGCTCGTTAAATTTTTAATAAATAAGCCCAAACATTCGTAAGCTTGGATCGTTAGTTGACTCGTTTAGTATTTATTATTTATATATTAAATAATGTAAAAATATGTATAAAAAATAAGATAAATATGTTATTTATATATTTAAAAAATATAAATGTAAATAATAGTTAACTATACATAGTACATTTATATAATAGTGGTAGTATATATTATTATTTTGGTAAAATATTGACTTTTTTTTAGCCTCCATTTGGGAAGTAGTTTGGCTTTTTGGTTTTTGACTTTTTTGGCTATTTGAGCCTTGGCTCAAAAGCTTGATTTGGAAAGGGCTTTTTGATTTTTTGACTTTTTAAACTTTTTTTGTGAGAGAAGAGTGTAATAATTATGGGTTGGATGTGATATTTTGTCTGTTGTGGCTCAAATAGCCTATTCTGTCTTTTATGGCTCAAAGAGCCAAAAGAGCCCAAATGAGTTCTTCCCAAACGAGCCCTTAATATGTTTATATATAATTGTATAATTAAAATTTTAATTATAACTTTAATCTCGTTTTAATTGAATTTATAAATTTTTGACTCGTTAAAGCTCGTGAACAAGCTCAAGTTAAGTTTAAGTCAACACAACTCGAACTCAATTCGTTAAATTTTTATTCAGCTCTAGCTCAAACTCGAGTTTATTAAAATTTTAATAAACAAGTTTAAATATACTAAATCTCAGCTCAGTTCGACTCGGCCCGTTTGTCACGGAGATTCATGTGACCAACGGGTGGGTACCCATTTTTAATATGGGTAAAGGTCTTTCAGTCGGGTCGGTTGCAAAATAACTAATTACTATTGGTTTAGGATAGGAATAGGATAACACTATATCACCAACTCATTCCCACACTCCACAAACACAAACCAGAATTACCAGCTCATATCCTCTCTCTCTCTCTCTCTCTCTCTCTCTCTCTCTCGCTCTGTTGAAATTTTCTAGAAGAAAGAGAGAGATAGAGAAACAAGTGTAGGAAATGGGGATGGTCTCTTTCATCTCAACTGTACCTTCCTTGCTTGCACTTGCTCCTCTCCCATCTCCCACCACCAGCACCACATCTGTTGCTGTCTCCAAATACCCAATTCATGCTGTAAGTCCATTGCCCTTGTGCTATATAACAACATGTATTTAATGTGACTCAGTACCATTCTTTATATGCATGCTTCATTTAAGAAATTGCTTGTGGTTCTTGTTTTGTTTGAATATTGTGCAACCAATTTATTCGGGTTTTTCAAGAAAATTGGTAATGACTACGTTGTTAACATGTCCTGTGTAAACAGAGTACAGTTCGCTGTAAAATTGAAGCTGACAATGGTAGTGAGGATCAATTTGGTCGAAGAGACATTCTTAAATGCTTTGGGGCTACCCTTGGCATGGTAAGACCTATCCATACTCTTCTTTCTTTTTCTTTCTCTTTTCCAATGAATTAGCTTGGTCTAATACCTAAAATTGTAAGCTATTAGTATTTGAAATTTCTCCTCTTATGAATTTTTAGTTTATTTAAGCTCAAGAGAATGCCTATATTCAAGTGATTATGAATTCTTGAAATGGGTATTGATCAAACTCAATAGCTAATTGAATTATTCATCCGACAAAACTTAAAAACAAAACTTATTTTACCAAGTGCTTCACAACTTAGAAGATGCATTTTTGAAATAGAAATGCTAGGTGAACATAAATAGAACACAGGAAAGTGCACAGAAAGCGCATTGTGTGGTTGAGATTCATTCTGGGTGTGGAGTGGGTCACACTTGAAATAAATCCTAGATACACAATTTTCTATGTTCTAATTCAGTGCACTAAGAATTTTTATTTTTGAAATGTTGCCACTTACAATGAGAAATTTGAATTTAATTCTGAAAACAAAATGGGAAATAGCTGAATGCAAGGGAGGAGAAATAAATAGTTGAGGAAAAAACCACAACTATATTCACGAACACTGTAATTTCTCCCAAACAATACAAAGATTACAACTAGAATGGCATCCAATACACATGCAGGCTTAAATGAACTGCCTAATTTCATTCTACCAAGTTTAACTAAATTGGAATCTTGGACTATTTGTACAGATTTTAAATACAAGTTAGGTAGATTCAATGCACAACTTCAAAATTACATACCATGCCATAAAAATGATGTTCTTTCCCAAATTGTGTAACTTGTGCCCAGCCCACCTGCCAATCTACTTTCTTTAAGGGATATACATACTTGCCTGGCATTAGGGCCTAAACTCGCAATTTTTGCTTCATTATTGAGATTTAATTTTATTTAACGAAAGCATTGTTCTTGTTAAGTTATTAATTGTCCCAAAAGCTCAAGCTGATAGGAAATTGGTCCAACAATATATATCAAGCTATTCAACAGTTCAAGTGGACAGACTCCAAAACCGAGTATGTTGAGAAAAATATTCCTGGGCAGAAAGCTAATAATTTGATTACTAAATTTTAATAATCTAACCTCAATATGTGATTTTTTCACTCACTTGAAGCAGTTAAATGAGTGTATTTCTTCATAGATCGATATCTGGATAAATTAACAATTCCATGAGCTGGAGCGATGTGATGATAAGTTTCTGCCAGTTGTTGTCTCTCCCTAGGAAATAATAGCAAGCTCAGGCTCATATGTTGAAGAGGCTAATGCTGCTGATCTAATACAGCGCAGACAGCGTTCTGAGTTTCAGTGTAAGTACTCCAAACTGTTGGTGTCATTTTTGTTTTCTATTCTTTGTTTTCATTTTTCGAAAAACACAGAAAACTTGTTTGGTAAAGTGTTTCCAGAAAAAAAGTTCTGAAAGCAACCCAGTTTTAGGAAACACCAAATAGTTGTTTTCAAATTTTAGAAAAATTTTGGAAGTGATGGATGACTTTGAACTTTTCATTGCTTTTGTTTCTGAAAACATGAAAAATGAAAATGATACCAAATAGTTATGTACATTTAACATTGACGGTGTCTATTGACTTAACATATTTTCTTTGACAGCAAGTGTGAAGGGAACCCTTTTTACAGCTATAAAGGTAAATCCCGCCATCATGCTTAATGAAATTGATCTTAATGTAATGCATATTTAGACCCGATTTTACAGATTTAAAACCTACAATGCTTCATTGATTCTTGATGTGCCGATTTTAGGCAAACCCAGATCTTGTTCCATCCTTATTGACTTTGGCGATGAATGATGCTATGACTTATGATAAGGTGAGAAAGAGTTTTACTTGTTGACAGTTTGAGATGAAAGTAGAAATTTATATTATTCCTAAACATTACATATCAAGAAAGCTCATATGATTCTAATTGAGTTTTGCAGGCCACAAAATCTGGTGGCCCAAATGGATCTGTACGTTTCAGGTACTTCTAACATATAGCATTACCACGCATAAGTATGTAGTATTAAAGAATAAAGTAAAAGAATGAAATTCTGCATTCTATCAAAAATCAGGATTGGTATTTCATGTACAGTGAAGATTTTCACCAAACCAAAGATGATTTATCTATTATGTTTTGTTCCGGCTTATTTTTTAGGGATTTTAATGCCAATTCACAAAATGACCCTATTGTTTCAGTGTCAATGATGATAAGCAGATGTATTAAATGTGGTAAAAAAAGGTTATGGAATATGAAAATTATGTTAAATTGTCAAAATTGTATTGAGGTTTTGGATCCTGGATTTAGTTGGTTTAGGCTTCAGAGTTTCCTTTTATTTGCGTCTTTTGGCTGAACTGCTTTCACTCCTTGCTTCTTATTTTTTCGGTTAGAAGTTTTTAAGTCGTTGCTGAAATGTTACCTTGATGTTTTTTTTTTTGTTTTTTTCTTGTCAATTATATTTTCTTGCTTGAAGCTCAGAGATTAGCAGACCAGAGAATAAGGGGCTCTCTGCCGCAATGAATTTATTAGAGGAAGCAAAGAAGGAAATAGATTCATATTCCAAGGGTGGTCCTATTTCATTTGCGGATCTCATCCAATTTGCAGGTTGCATGTCATACTTATCACCAAGTTTGTCCTGTACACTACCTACATGGCCATTAACTTGCTCAGATACTCTGGAATCAGTCATCGTATTTATGTGGAGTGTATTCTATAAATCATTTGTTTTTACCAATATGTTCATCATCAAATTTATGGTAGATGAATAGACTATAGTGTGTGCACAATTGCACATGGAGTTCTACCTGTTTGTTGCAGCTTGTCGATTCTGCTTATAGCTTATGAGACAGAAATAGATTAAATAAGTTGAAAAGAATAGACTATAGTGTGTGCACGATTGCACATGGAGTTCTCCCTGTTTGTTGCAGCTTGTCGATTCTGCTTATAGCTTATGAGACAGAAATAGATTAAATAAACTGAAAAAAACTGATTATCTTGAAGCTGAATGCTCCCTGTTTGTTGCAGCTTTTCGACTCTGCTTATAACTTCTGAGACAGAAATAGATTAAATAGGCTGGAAAAAACTGGTTATCTTGAACCTGGGAGAGAGGCGTTTTTAGTTTTTGTTTTCTTATTATCAACTTTCAGCTTGAGAAAAGCTACACCAAATAGGCCTAGGGTATGTTTGGGAAGTGTAATAGAATTATGTGAATGATTGTATACGTAATATGCTGCAATGGCTTATATGTAAGAGGTAGTTCATCGTTATAAGTCATTACTCATGATTTAATAGTCAACACACCCAATATACGGAGCCCAGACTTAGGTTAGGATGCAAAATATAAGCTTTGCTTGTCTTGCTGAATGCCTATGTGTCACTTATGTTGTACTTTTTTGGTGCATAAGTTCTCGTGTAAATTGTAACCAATTCCAAAAACAATAATATAAATGAAACTGTGAACAAACAAGGTACTTTATTAACACAAGTGTATATCCTCATTTTAGTTTCCATGAAGGAAAATATTTTTTTCTGAAATTCTGTGAAAGACAGTGGATCCATTTTTTTTTGAATTTGGTGATTAAAAGCTTCTGACCCAATTTTCTTTGTTCAATGCAGCACAAAGTGCCTTAAAGTCTACATTTCTAGCTTCTGCCATCCGTAAATGTGGTGGAAATGAAGAGAAAGGAAGCTTACTATACACTGCATATGGTTCAAATGGGCAGGTTAGTTTCTTGTGTATACAAATCGTTCACAAGATAGTTTTAGTCTATTCAAATTAGTCTATTTGCCTATTAAGGAGTCTCTGTGTATACACATTTCATATGTGGTATCCATTATGCTTTACCTCGCTTAACTCAAATTATCAAATTTGCTACGAACACAGAAACTGGTCAAAGAATTTACATGATTTGTTAATGAGATCCACTTTTGAAAAACTATATTCGGCCATATATATTTTGTGTCCAATTTTGTGATCAGTTATTACAAAATTATTAGGGGAGGTGGATGTAATGGATACAATTGCTTTTTGTAACTACAGTGGGGCTTGTTTGACAAGCAATTTGGGAGGTCAGATGCTCAAGAGCCAGATCCAGAAGGGAGGGTTCCCCTGTGGGCGAAAGCAAGTGTTCAGGAAATGAAAGATAAGTTCTCGGCCATAGGCTTTGGTCCCCGCCAGGTATTTCAATTATCATGACATCAAAGTTGCATGGCATGACCTTGTTTCAGTACATCATTCACTTAGTGCTCGAGAATTTGGTGTTGGAAACTGAAAACACCATTTTCTGGAGAAGCCCTGAATGACACTCATAGTTAAATTTGTAATCAGAAGGAATAAAAGAAAAACTAAAGACTTGCTTGGTTGTGTTTTCATTTTAGTTAGACATTGCATGATCAAAAGGAAAATCTATCAACAGCATCTGTTAGGCCACTCCATTGAGCCATGTTGCTAATGAAAGATCGAGCTTAAGTGCTACTACTAGATTTATTAACTTTCCTTAACAAGTTTTTGCAACTTCAACTCCCATGGACTCAGCTTTTATCTTGCTTATTTTTATCCGCTTATACCAAATCAATTATTTGTTGTGAAATATTCATAGAAAGTGCTCACCAACCCAGTTTTCTTTTAAATTATTCGTTTTCCATTTTTGGTGGCCAGCTAGCTGTTATGTCTGCATTCTTGGGTCCTGATCAAATGGCCACTGAGACCTTATTGGCCACAGATCGAGATGTTGCTCCATGGGTTGAGAAATACCAAAGAAGCCGAGAAACAGTCTCTGAAACTGACTACGAGGTTAGTGTCATTCTTTCTCTTCTTCTTTCATGAATTTCAAGAGAAATGGATAAAGAATATATAAGGAAATAAATGATAACTACTATTTTAGGAAAGAAAAAGAAAATTGTAAGCTATGTTACTAGAAAGCGCTAATATCCTAGTGAATTACGTATTGTTACGCTCGTTTCGAAACATGATACACTTTCGATCCAAAACAGTAAATTTAGTGATCCGAAGCGATCCCTAGAGCTTTTTCTAATATATTTCTTTAAATGTTACCTTAAGAGGAAAAAAATCAAATATAATGAATTAAAATCTAAGGTGACTTAAGTTTTGACAAAACAAAAACATCAAAAATGAAAAATATATATATATATATATTATTGGATGTCCAATAGTTATTCTAGAAGTACCTTAAATTCTTAAGTGTAATATATACAAGTTTACCCCTATCGTATCATATTTTAGAGCATGTGGCGTACCTCGTTCCCGTTCCCGTTCCCGTTCCACGTACCGAAACGATCCATGTTCTAGTTGACATAGATTGTGAGTACCTCGGGTAACTTGCACAAATGGTCCCTCAAGTGTACCACATATTTCATTTTCATCCTTTATTTTTAATTTGTATCAATTACATCCCTAAATTTCACACATTAATCCAATGTTCATTTTCCTTATCGTCTTCTAGAAAAACAGAAGCTTACGTCAGTCTTACATTTGGTGGCATTTAAATGGTGTTGGGAGGAATTTATCCCATTTTCTACCTAAATAAATCACCAGTCAATCCATTCAATCCCCAAAAATAAAAATAAATATTTACTTCTTGTTTGCTTCGTTAAAACCCTAAAATCACTTGGAGCCAAATACGTAGTCACACTAAAATGTTCTAGTGCCCATCAATACCTGATGTGAGGCAGATGTAAGCATTTTTTGGTTTATTCTTTACATGGCAATTAGGAGATTAGAATACATTGAATTAATGTGTGAAGTTTAAGAATGTAACTGATACAAATTTAAAATCAAGGACTAAAATGAAAGAAGTGGATTTTTTGTTTTTGCATCAACCTTCCATAATATGCAGGTGAATTCAAGTAATATAAGCTGCTTTGTTGACATTTCATTCTAATAACTTGTCCATGGGATTTGATTGATTCTTATCAGGTTGACCTAATAACTACCCTCACAAAATTAAGTGCTTTGGGGCAACAAATCAATTATGAGGCATACGCATATCCTGTTCAAAGAGTTGATTTCAGCAAGTTGAAATTATAGGATGGCACCATATGGTTGTCTATCAAGCTTGAAGCAGTACTTACCCCTACAAGATGATTATCAATTTTTACAAGGAAAAAAGAGGTCTCTGGAGTTTTAAAGGTTTAGAGGGAAGCTCATTTGGCATCAAATCCAAGTATTACCCGCGGAATTTTATTTATATTTTTGCGTGCCGGAGTGGAATATTTGTTTCTTTTAAGGTGTATAGCTGATGTATAACAGCATTTTTCTTCATAATTGAGATTCAAGGAACTAACAACAAATCTCACATGAAATTATGAATTTTTTAAAATTTTTGGTTCATGGTAGCATTTTGGTAATGTTGTCAATTTTATATAATTATGTTTTTCATTTACCATAAACTGGAGACATTTATTTTTTTACAAAAAAAAAAAACAAATAAATAGCATATTCAATGCTTTCAAAAGAAAATTAAAATTTAAAATATATATTAAAAAAAACCTGGTGGACGAGTGATTATTAAGTAGTCCGGGAAAACGGTCACGTGATGTTTCATGGTAGTTGGTGTTCTATGGTAGTGTGATTAGTGGAAAATGTGAAGTATTAACTATTTGTGTTCGAGTGATTGAGAAATATGAGAGGACATAATAAAGAGTCGTGCTACAGGCCTCGAATATTGAGGCGCAAATTTGCCTCGAATTTGTTTAACTGGTCGTTCGATTGGTCATTCGTCGGTCGTTCGGCAAAGAAACTGACAGTCACAGTCGACAAGGTAACAACCGCGGTAGACAAGTACTTCACCCGGTTGTCCGGATGGTCGGCCGGCCAGTCGACCGGTGATCACAAATTTACGCCATTCGCGCCTCAAGCTCTCGAGGCCTAAAGCATTAACCTATAATAAATAGTGATTGGAGAAAGAGTATAGTTGCATGATACTCCAAAATTATTAATCTTATATAATTTTCCATAACACGGGGGCAAATGTAGAGGAGGAGAGGGGTTGCCAGCAATTGAAAATTGTTTTCATAACAAGTGAAAACATAAGTTTTTGTTTTCAACAAATTTCAAATTGTCATTTTTTACAACAAAAACAGTTACCAAAAGCACTTCCATTCTCTCTCCCGTCCCTTTCTGAACTTAGTCTGTATAAAACCAGATTTCAAAAAACAAATGAAAACATGTCTGGTGAGTGAGTGGAGGGCGAAAGCCCAGGGTTGTCGGAGGAGGGGGCTTGCCAGAGAATGATAACTGTTTTCATAACAAGTGAAAACATATGTTTTTGTTTTCAAAAAATTGAAAGTTTTCAAAACTTGTGGTCATTTTTACAACAAAATCAGTTACCAAAAGCACTTCCATTCTCTCTCCCCTTTTCTGAATTCAATCTGCCTAAAACCAGATTTCAACAAGAAAAAACACAAACAAAAATTATCAATACAAAATTTTTATCAGGAGAAAATCAAAATTCAACATACTTAACTCAAAATTTGAAAGGAAATTGTTGTTCAGTCAACAAGCTCAACTTTCCACCTTTTACTGATACCAATACAGTAAAAAATACTATCATCTATAATACCAAAAATAAATCTGATATCCCATTTTTCTATCTGGACTTTGGAGTAATGACCTCAAGCCCACCCATAAAGGGTTTTAATGGCTCAGGGATTACGATGGAACCATCTTCTTGTTGATAATTCTCAAGCAAACATATGATCATCCGCGGAACAGCACAGGCCGTGGCATTTAATGTGTGCACAAACTGTGTTGGAGCAAGATTGCCTTTACCCTTCTTGGGATTTGTTGATGATGCTTCGGGACGGTAACGGATTCCTAGTCGACGACTTTGGTAGTCGGTACAATTTGATGCACTTGATATCTGTTCAAAATATAATATAACACATGGAATTAGAAGATTTCCAGACCCAAAATGTTTACTATGGGAAAATAATATAGGGCACAAGCTGAATTCCTGCTCATTCAACATGGATCCAAGGTAGTAACACTCTTTGGAACTGAAACTACGCTGCCTGATGCTCTGCGTATAAAAAATAAGTAAAACATGCAGAACTTGAATTGCAAAACAAATCCCAATTGCATTATGGGCATAAATTCTCAAGTTCAACTACTATGGGCCTATTTGATGCAACTTCTACCAAGCTGAAAGTTGTTAATCAGACAACAAAAACTAAAAGCATCTCTTCCCCTGCCTTCCAATAATTAGTTTTTTTAGCTTATTTAAACTATTTCTATCTCTTGAACTGTGCAAGAATTACACCAAACACTCGGACACCCAAAAAAAATAAAATAATTAATAATAACAACTACAAGCAACTCCATAAGCTGCACTAAACAGCCCCTATGGTGAAAAGGTATATCAGCAAAGGACACACATGTTGCACACACAGTAACACACATAATACTAGCATACCTCACCAAAACGTCCTAAACCTGGCATCCATGCCTCCACATCAAATTTCCGATAAGCAGGTGCACCTAAATCCCCTGAAGCCATATCTATAGTTCTGCCAAGAAGCTTAATGTTACGATTGGTGGAATGCATTGATATAAAACAAAGCCACCCAAATGAACATGTATATATTTATGAAAGTATACAAAGGGTTGTCAATACTCACTTAAAATGAAAGCCTAGTGATGAGAACAGGTCCTCTTCAATTCCAATTAATTCCTCATGGTAAGAATCGCTTTCTTCAGGTTGGCAAAGGATGAACATCTCCACCTTGCTGAACTGGTGGACTCGATAAAGGCCCCTACTCCAGAACAGTAACCAAATGTATCAATATGATGCAGAAACAAAGCTAAGTAGAAACAAATTTCGATCTATATATAAGTACAACTATGAGCTATCGTTTTCATTTTCTGCATTTTGATCCTTTACTTATTTGTTTACAGATTAGTAGTACTATCACAAGTCTTTGAGGGAACAACTTGCAAGTGAAGCCAAAGAAAAGAAAGCTAGGATAATAGACCACCATAAGTGGATAAATGGCATTTGCTTAGTAATGCATGTCCCTCCGCCACATAGGTCCTATAGAGTAAATGATTATACCAAAAAAAAATCATTGTGACCAAGTGATATTTGATTATTCATACAGAAAACCAGACAAATTATGGGAAGAAGTGCTCCTCAAGCATGGTTATTCAGAGATAGCAAATATAAAGCAGAACTTGGTATCCCCAACAAGGCAAAAAAATAAAGAATATCCATCATTTATGCTAGAGTATTCAAACATCTAGAATTCTATCAGGCCATTGCATTCGAAATGCACAAAACAGCACTTGTAATATAATAAAAAGTATACAAGGATATTAACATATTATCCTCCATGCTTATTGGCATAGATCAATGCAGGAGGTACATCATTGATTTCTAATCAATATAGGCACACACAAAAAAAGGCATGCATTCATTTCAATGCAAGGTTCATAAAGCCTATCACATCAATCCCCCAAAACATTATTAAAAAAAATAAAAACTAAAAAGGTTCAATGATATTTATCTAAATAAATTAAAGGTTGATGACAAAATTATATTGCTTTTGGTTCAACTGCATCGAACATAGCAACACCCACATCAATTGAATTGATGAGTTATTGGTTTCAAGTAGTTTCCCTTGACGTAGTTAATTGCAGGTAATTTACCTTGTTGCCACGCCTGCAGCACCAGCTTCAGTACGAAAGCAATGGGAGAAAGCTGCATACTTTAATGGTAACGACGATTCTGTGAGAATAGAATCCATATGAATTCCCCCCACTGGAATCTCTGCAGTGCCAATAAGGCATTGATCACTACCCTCTACAGAATAAACCTGCAGTGTTTGGAAAAAATATCAAGAAGATAGCTAAACCAATTGCCATCAATTTAAGTTGTCCATGGCTATTGAAAGATCAATTATCTACTAATCACAAAGCCTAAAATCCATCTCCCACCCCAAAAAGTGAAGCAGCCCAAACTACACAAGCAAAAAAGCATTGTCATGTCACGGTTAACCATGTTGGGGATTTTAATTCTGTGAAGCAAAAACTCAAAAAAAGAAGGGCAAAAAAATAGAAGGGTCTCATATGCCCTCAGCAGCAGCCATTCCCAATAACAAACATGCAGGATTAGTGAAAGCAGAAAAGAATATATGACAAATGAATCTAAAAACAAATTAAGTTGAGTTCATATCCATCTTAAAACCAGACAAGGCTAAAGCAGTGAGGGGAATAGGTGGGTGTAAATGGTTTGACCACTGGTTATATTGATAATGGATGTATGTAAGTATAAAAAAAAATAATAAAAAAATCCAAAATGAATTGAAGTGGTTGGTTCAACTTGTGGTCACAGACTCACTCGTTCAATGAATGATCTAGCCAGTTCTCACTGGTTTAAAGCCAAAACCATGACATAGCTGACTCAGTGAAGTGTTGCATTCATGGTCACACTAGTTCAAATGGCAAATTGTCATCGACTTGATATCTGATGACCTAGGTTATGTAAAGTATTGGGTTTCTAAATGTGTTCAGAAGAAGCAGTTATAAATCATGGCACGATGTCTACAAACCTGGGTATTTTCTCCACGAGGTTGGAAGCCACATTTTTCAACAACAGAAGACCTCACAATTTCCGGGGTTGTAAGGGGTGTAAAGCCCCTTCTCATGACTTCCGAGATCGTCCAGTTTACAAGTGCCATCTCTAGTAAAACTGCTTCATTCTTCAGGTAGTAGAATTTTGACCCGCTGACCTGCAAAACCATGAACAAGTAACATCAAATATAATTGAAGCTCTCTTTTTTTTCCCTTTTCTATTTCGCTTGGAAGCCAGAGCAGCGTATTCCTCATTAGTAAGGTAGAAAACTAAGGTTTGAACTTAGTCAAATATAGCCCACGTTGTGGAGAACCACCCAATATCACCAGCTATAGAAAAAGTGTTCCACACACATATGAGAGTCAATAATGCAGTAGATGGAAATGTTTAGGGGAACATAAGGTTTAACAGAATCCAATCAAGATCAGATTAGTAAATTCCTTTCTGATCCACTCAAAATTCTACTTCAAGGGAAATGAAAGAATAAAGTCCGAATGAATTTATGCAAGAAATATTAATCCATTTGTCTTTATCATTGACCTGTTTAAGTGACCTGCAACCACCTGTCAGTATTATAAGTTGTGAAAGGATACATTATCAACCATAGGGGTGTAGATGGATAATGGGAAATTTGGGTGAGCTTCTGTGTACTCTTTTACAGGGATGGTGGACATAGAAGTTGACTATCTAATTGAACAGCAACGAGACACCTTGTTGTGGTCGCATTCAAGTTGATATTCTTTCCTCTCCATTCGACTTAGGCCTCGTTTGGGAACAGGCTAATTTAGTAACTTTTTTGCTATTTGGCTAAAATATGTGCTAAAAAAAACTAGTATGTTTGGGATAACTTTTTGGCTTTTTAAGAAAAAATGTGCAAAAAGTAGAGAGAAAAAAGAATCTTTGACTTTTTGGTATGGGTTGTTTGTTAGCTTTTTGACTAATTTAGTAACTTTTTGACTTTTTGGCTAAAAGTGAGGGTTCCCAAACGAGGCCTTAATCTTGGAAATATTTACCCCAGGAACATTTCATATCATTTCGATAGAACAACACTATTAGCCTGGAATATTTCACATCATTTGGATAGAACACCACTATTACCAAACTAGCAGATATAAAATGCTAATTCACATTAAACATGCACTGCATAACAACTCTCAAGCCTCTATACTGACAAGCTAAGGTTGTTGAATACCTTAGTTGAACAGAAGAAATACCTCTGCAGCAGCATCAAAATCAATGAGATCTAGGTCTTTCCCAAGTTGAAAGTGATCTTTAATATGGAAGCCAAACTCCCGAGGACTCCCAACCTACAAAAATCCAAGTAACATGAAAAGAGAAAAAAAAAATTCACAAGAAGACAATCATCATTTAGGGGTTGGGGGAGAGAAATACCATTTTTCTCAATACAGAACAATCTTCCCCTCCCACTGGAACATCTGGATGGGTCATATTTGGTATACGTTGTGCTTATTAGGAAAAATATGTGATTCCCATAAGTACTCATCTGTAAGTTTAACCAAGTCTTCCTCCAGAGTAATAAGTCCTTCCTTTAGACTCTTTCCTGAAAAAGTTTATCAGAGGACTGAATAAGACGATCTAAACCAAATGGTTGAAAGAATGATGTCAACTTCAAAAGCTATACCTTCTTCTATTAGCTTTTGACGCTCAGAGGGTTCCAGTTTTCCTTTCATCTTGTTCGCAACCACATTTCTTTCAGCACGAAGCCTTTCAACTTCCTGCTATCTGTGAGTGACAATTAGCTACAACTGAGAATAAACCAGTCTGTTTTGCTGATGTTGTGCAGTGTGCAAGCAGCATTTTAGCCCTAGGAAGCACAGATACTCCGAAATGGCCCCCGTACGCGTATCTAATACGGATACGCATCCGATACGGCGAGATACGTATCAGAAAGAAGTATCTCATTTTTTTTATTTTTTTTATTTTCGGATACGTTTGGGATACGCGAGGATACTTCAAGGATACGCTTGGGATACTTTCGGAATACGGCGGGGCAAAAAAAATAATTTCAAAACTTATAATTGGCGTCAAAATGTAAAATAACAAAATTATATCTAAAATAAAACAAAAAAAAAATCAAACAAACCCTACCTAGAGGAGTCATCGAACAGCAGGAAGAGAGTCGTCAAACAGCAGCAAGAGAGTCGTCGTCTCTGAATTGCGTACAACAGCAAGTCGCCGTCCTTGTCCTCGTCGTCGATCAAGGTTCCTCTCTCTCTCTCTCTCTCTCTCTCTCCCTCTCGCTGTACTAATACTAGCCCCTTTGAATTTCTTTTTTCTTTTTTTTTTTTCCTTCTTTTTTTTGCAACTAAGCTAAGCTACTGTGAGGTTTTTTTTTTCCCCCCTTAATTTGAATTCCATTATGGTTGTTATGGGTGATGATGCTATATTGTTGGAATTGTTGAAATTTAATTGAATTGCTGAATTTTTTTTTGGATGTTCATGCCAAAAGATAACTACAATAATGTTTTATTTTATTTCTTTACCAAATTTATAAATTTTAGGAAATGAGTTCAAGTATGGGCAACAAGTTGAAACTATTGATCTCGAAGACTCTTAGCTTTATAGGAATCTTTCTTTTTTATCAAGTTGTCTTTTGCTTTAGGTTTTATTTGTATACATACTATATTACTAAAAATTATAAAAAAAAATATTTTTTACGAACGTATCCCAGCCGTATCCGTATCCTAGTTTTTCACATTTTGCCGTATCACCGTATCCGTATCGTATCGTACCCGTACCCGTACCTCATATCCGTATCCGTATCCGTGCTTCCTAGTTTTAGACCAACAAACAAAAATTGTACCATGAACCAACATGATTTCAACAAAAGAATATCACCAGGTATAAAACTTCTTTTAATAGGTTTTCTCTTTGAAACTGAAAAGGCCACATACATTTGTAAGGTTCAGACATGATTTAAGGCTACCACAGCCACACACACACACACAGAGAGGAGCAAACTGTTTTTTTCATTGATCAGACATTAGTTTTATTTTGTGCATCTTCTTTTTTGTGATAAGTAAAAAATTATTTATTTAAAAAATAATAATTAAAAAATAAATAAATAAAGCACTAAAGGGAGCCACCCGTATACAAAAATCATTAAGGGGATCAAGATGAACTTTGAAGTAGGAAAGGATACACCACATATAAAAATTTGGCTACCCTACAAATACATTCTAGAACTCCAAGACCACCTTTGGAAAAAATTCCTTCAATCTCAAAGCAAGCAACTTCGCCAATAAGACTAATAGGCCAAAAATCCCTCATATCCACCCCAAAGCATTCAAGCTCCTCTCAAAGCATCATATGACTCATGAAATGACGAAAACACACCCATGACGTCCTCCCTAACAACCCCCAGCACTGTTGGAAGAGAGCAGTCATCCCAACCAAACCTAGCACCTTAACCCCATAAAGAGACTTTAAAGCCCCAATCATCTCCTCCTCCAAGAAAGGGTGTTCTAACCACAACTCCTCAACAGAAATTTGTCTGAAATCCATCCCTTTTAGTCTAGGCCTCGAGGTAGTGGACTCAAATACAATTTCAAGACTCACTGACTCAACTTAGGCCAAAGCTTCTTGAAAATGCATCAAACAATTGTAGGGTTAAAAAAGGAGAAATTCTCACAAGGTGTAAGGCTCGAAGTCTCAAAACAGCGTCAGTCACTGATGCACAAATTTAAGAAATTTTTGCACATTCTTATGAGTATGGCTCATTAACAAGATAAATTTTAGACTTGCATAGGTTAGCATGCAACTGGTATAGAACTCTCTATACTCTTATATCACGTGAAAACAAAACATCTCCACAATACACACAACTCGTCATGTAAGTACATTGAAAAGCATCTTCAACAAGTCTTCTCAAACTCACACAAAGAAGAAAGCTTAATTTTATCACAATGCTCTTCCAATTGATTTAGTGACAATTTTGACATTAAACCACGGTGGTTAATTGAGGCTTTTCTTAACTTTGCAGAGTCTAAAAAGTTGTTTCTCGTTTCAATCGAAAGTTATCATATGATGGTAAAACTAAGACTTTCTGGCAAGGTTTTAGTTATCACTTCATTTCAAATTTTCAATATTTTTGTCCTTATTGCAATGTCCTTGACAATAAAAGAAATCCAAACAATGATACACTCAACAATCAACAAAACAGATTGCCCAACAATTAAAATACCCCTGAAAACAATGGAGATGTAATAAAACCCTAACCTTCTGAACATTTAACAATCTCTCATACAGTTGAAGAACCAGTTCCAAGTCAGCATTGGAATGTCGGTTCCTAATGTTGGCAGCAACATCGACTCTATTGTCCCGAATCCACTTGAAATCTATGGACGCTTTCCATTGAGGTTTCACAACTGAAACCCATATAACAAAAACAACAACAACAAATTCAAAACACAAACAACGAATAAAAACAACAAAATTGAAACAATAATACAATTTGACTTCCACCAATGACCAAAACTGAATTAGGGTTTTGAATGACCTTTATCTTCGGGAATTGTGGTTTGGATGGCTGGGGCTGAGAGAGCTCTGGCGAAAAGTGGAAGTGAGGGCCTTCGGGGAGAATGGTGGGGATGGAGAAGGAGGTCTAGGGTTAGGGTTTTGGAGAGGGGTCTGAAAATGGAAGAGTAAGATGATGGAATTGCTGCGAGTTTGAGGGTGTGGAAGGTCGTCCCTCCCAATCCCAAGCAACATTGCAAGCTCATGGCTTCACTCTCTGAGGATGGGAGGCTGTGTTTGGACTGCGTCTAAAAGATTCTGCGACCAAATTATCCTTTTTACGTATATTTTTAGATAATTGCACTAACATCCCTGGGATCTTTTACAATTACTGTATATAAACAGTAATAATAGTACTAGGAACCTATCCTCGTCAACTTAAAAATTATTCCGTTTAAATTTATTCTATACATGAATTTCATATTAAATAAATTAATCTCCATTATATAATCACTCACTCCGAATTTTCTAAGTGTATTAATCTAGGACTAGATGAGGTATTTTGAAAAGTTGATAAAAAGTTAACTTTTGATTTTTTATCAAGTTTTTTAGTTTTTTTAGAAATGATTTAGAAAGTTAGTAAAAAATTGACCTTTTTTTTTATTTAATATTTTTTAAAAGTGTCACATCACGTCAAAATGATCAAAATATCTTTACTTTTTGATTTTTAAATTAATTAATTAAAATATTTCAAAGAATAATTTGATAAATTTGAGTGTTTTTTTTAGTTCTTTCCAAATGAGATTTTCAGCGTTTTGGCCAAGCTTGGCGTTTTTGAGCAAATGACAAAATGCGGCTTTTTTTTTTTTTTTTTTTTTTTTTTTTTTTTTTTTTTTTTTTTTTTTTTTTTTTTTTAGTTGCCAAAACGTATATAAAACTTCTCTTATATTTTCTCTAGAATGGTTATTTGTGATTGGGTATATGGAGTTCAAATCATTTGCAGTGGCTCAATTAGTGTCCTCAAAATAATATTCAGTGTGTTTGGTTTGATTTTTTTGGATTAAGTTTTTTTTAAATTGATTTTTTTAATTTTCGTATTTTTTTATTTTTAGTAAATATTTTTTTAATTTTAAATATTTCTTTTACCTTTTTAAATGTACCTTACTTAAATGTATCTAAAAAATAAAAAAATTTGTGAAAAAATATTTTAAAAAATTAATAAATACATAAAAATATAAAAAATGTACTGAATTCTTGTATTTTTGGTATTTAATAAATTTTTAAAAGATTTTTTTTATAATTTTTTTTACTTTTTAAGTGTATTTATATTAGGCGTGTCTAAAAAGTAAAAAAATTTACTTAAAATATTAAAAAAATTCAATAAAAACAAAAAAATACGAAAAATAAAAAAGTAAAATTTTTTGAAAAATATTTTTAAAAAGTAGAAACAAGCTAGGTGATTTGTTTTGAGTTTTATTTTCTCTTCTTGCTTTTTTTTTTTTTTTTTAATGTATTTTTCTGTATTTCACACATCCAATTGAGTTTGAATTTAGAGAGGGAACTGGAAACGATGACTGATGACCGAAGATGAACGGCAACGGGCGACTGACGACATAGAGGGTGTTTGGAACTTAAGCCAAGTTTGACATTTTCAAAATAAGCCAAAAAGTCACTGTTCTATTTAAGTCACATCATCTTATTTAAGTCGCATCACCTCTCTACCACATCACTTCAAACCCAATCCATATTTTATAAAAAGTCAAAAAGTACACTTATTTAGAATATCCCAAACAACCCCTTAGTTTCTGGATTTTTTTAATAAATATTTTATAAACATCATTTCACTTTTTTCTTATAAATATCACATCTAACCACAAAAAAATCTAATTATCTTCTTAAACACAAAAAAAAAAATTCTTTAATAATATCCTACAATTCAAAAAATACAAAAAAACTCACTTCCTAAAACATCCACAGAGTTTCAAAAATTTCAAGTTCCTTCCATTATATGTTTATATATATATTATGGCCTATTTTGAGAAACAAGCTAAAAGCTAACTTTAGTCTTTTTTTTGAACTTTTTAAAAAAGATATATAAAAAAAATAAAAAGATAATGTGATTTAAAAAAATTAAAAAATTAACTTTTAACAATATTACTAAAATAAACCCATATCTATGTAAAACAATGTTACATACCACTCAATTTCTACCATTAACACCACCACTAATGATGTGGCAAGTGAAAAAAAAAAAAAAAAAGCTAAGATACAAAACACATGTGACCCACTGCTACATCCTAATGCAATCACTATTTGTATCATTTTTCTATCTATGTAACATTCTTTTCCTCGCTTCATTATTTCTCTCTCCAAAAGTTTTGATTCAAAAGATCAAATTCTATGAAGCAGCCCTTTATTGAGCAGATTAATTTTCTCCATCTCCAAATCAATTGTCTGTCTATCAAAAAATTGAAGTGGTAATCGGTAGAGTTTTTTAAATATAATATGAGAATAAAGTTATATTTTGAATTTGTGAGTTTTGAAATTATGATTTGAGTATAGAAAATTAAATTTTAAATTGAGTGATAAATTTTTTATGTGACATATGATATTTGATACAAAAACTTACAACTCATAATCAAATACACAACTCAAAAATCTATTAAAAACTCATAAAAAAAATTTTAAAAATATTACTTTATTAAAAATATTATTAAAAAAAATTGCCATGTTCCAGTTGACTGGCCGGTCAACCGGCCAAACCGATTAAGCCAAATTTCAAAAAAAAAAATCCTGCCTGACATAGAATTTTCTGCAAAGTTTTCTTTTTGCTGTAGAAATATAATTTGAATTATGTATCCAAACATAGTATTAGAATGTGAAGGTGAAATTATAGTTTGAAAATATACCCAAACACATAGTGAAACTGACCTATGTAAAGATTTATTTATTTATTTTATTTTTTAAAATGAGCAACTACCAAGGAAATGTTGGAGTTTTCTGAAGAAAATTCAAAATTTTATTTGTATTTATTTTTTGCTTATATTTATTTATTTTTATTTTTTTTCAAACAGTTATATTTATTTCTAATTCAAATAGTGTTTGAATTCAAAAACAATGAGCATGTATATTCTTAATAGACATCATGGAGTCTTTATATACAAGATTTTAATTCGGGCAAAAAATAACAACGTATTATGACTTGCTTTCTCTTTCTCTTCTTTGTTGTATTTTCTATATTCTGTATTTCTGGACAACTAATACAAACTTAGCGAATTCATCTTATGCAACTGTGTTGATCCAAAAAACTGTGCATTGATAAAAAAAAAATTATGCATTGTGTCATATCCCTGTGAGTTTTTGAGTTGTATGTTGGAATTGTTTGTGATCATTACAGCGTCTTTGGCTTGTCTATCACAATTACACGGGTTACTTTCTGAACCATCTTCTTCTTTTTCTCTAGTATTTTGTGTTTTATATATATATTATATATATATATAATTTTATATCAAATTGTATAAAACTTATTTTTAGGATCTAATTTGTTTAATATCATTATTTTGTAAAACTGTTTTAGAGATTTTATTTTTCAATTTTGATAACAATCTAAAGTTGTTAATCTAAAAACTATTAAATCTTTTCATTATCCGTATTTTATAATTTGATTTGTTGGTCTTGAACAGATACTATTAAACTTTTTTCTGAATTTTATTTTCTTGGTCAAATCTTTTTTTTGAACCGAAAAGCACTAACACATGGATTAACCAACAACAGAGGTTACAGCAGTGGAGGATACATCAGCAGATAATAAAAGCTAAAAGACTAACAGGTGGGAGCATAGCCCAAGACACAGGTAGACCCTGAGAGGCTTGGGTTTTGGCCACCCAATTTGCTACACGATTGTTGGATCTGGGAGTCCATGAAAAGGAAAGATAATAGGCTGAGGTGAAAGAGCGAATATCCAGAATAATAGCACTCAACTCCCAGGGAGGGACCTGCTCTGAGACATACAGTTTGATAACAAGTTGGTTGTCATTTTCAATCTCCACAAAAGACAAGTTATAGGCCCTAACCATAAGGCAAGCCATGCGGACAGCAAAAGCCTTAGCTTGGGAGGCTGAAGAGGCCGGAACAGTCCTGGCGTTACCATCAATTAGTTGGCCATTGGAATCTCGAATAACTGCTGCAATGGCAGCCATGGAGTCCCGCTGGCAGAAAGAAGCATCACAATTGATCTTGAAGTAACCAGAGTTGATTGGTATCCAACCTGAAACAGGGGTAGAGAACACAGAAGCAGTCCGATGTTCTTGATTGGAGATAGTGCTTAAGAAGTCTTCCTTTTCAGTCCAAGATTGAGCAATTCTATGGAGTGTTGCCAAAGGATCCACTGGGATATTGTTGAAGACGAACTCGTTCCTCGATTTCCATATGAACCAACCCACAATGGCAATTTTGCTGAGAGAGGTCTTAGCATCAGAAGTGGAGAGGGCTTGGCTAATGATATCACTTGTCCATTGAGACACATTTGGGATGGAGCCAAGGGCTATTCTGAGGTTAAGTGAGCTTCCGAACCACACAGCTTTAGACCAAGAGCAGTCAAATAGCAGGTGTTCCACTGTTTCAGTAGCAGAAAGGCAAATTGGGCAGACCGCCGAAGTGCCACATTTGCGCCTGAAAAGACCAGCTTTGGTTGGGAGGAGGTAATGACAAGCCTTCCACCAAAAGTGCCGAATTTTGGGTGGAGTTTCTAATCCCCAAATAATCTTCCACATATTATGGACGAGGGATATAGAGGATGAAGGAGAGTTGTCCGATGATCGGTCCGTAAGAGATCTGGCTAGAGCATACCCTGATTTAACTGAGTAGAGGCCGAACTTGTTGGGGTGCCAAATGATAGAATCATCCCGTCCCTCCGCTGCAATAGGAATAACTGAGATGGTTTCAACTTCTTCCGTGGAAAGACAGTGCAACAGTGGGTCTAAAAGCCAAGACTTATGAACCTGATCAATTACGTCAGCTACAATCATTACATCGCAGGTGGGAGGCTTTGCTAAAATAAGTTTGAAACCTTTAATAGACGGAATCCACGGGTCCTCCCAAAGACGAATCTTTTGTCCAGAGTGTACTTGCCATCGAATACCAACCTGAATCAACTCTCGGCCCTTTAAAAGACTGTTCCATGCCCATGATGCATTTGAGCCCTTAGTAGCTTGTAAGAAGGAAGAATGAGGAAAATAAAGTCCCTTGTACATTCGATCCCAATAGGAGTCCGGATTAGACAATAATCTCCAGCCTTGTTTGGCCAAAAGGGCGAGGTTAAAGT